ACCTTCATGCCAACCTCCACAGTCACTACCCATTTTGGAAAGTTTCTGGTAGAGGATTGGAAATCTCAATAAATATGAATAAGCATAAAGAGGATTCAGCTAGAGAAGTGATCACAGTCTCTTTGGGATAAAGGTGTCTCCCAAATGGTAAGTGGCTCCTCATCATCAGCCCATGCTTCCCCCTGCCCAAGTGCCACACACAGTTTCCTTTTTGCCCTTCCTTCCTTCCATTCTTCCCATAGAATTTTCTGTCTGTCCTCATGTTTTTCATACATGATTTCTCTCTCCTTAGATGATTGCCTCTGTTGAACTTACTAACACTTTCACAGCCCCCACAAAGCCAGGTTTTGTTTCCACTTTCTTCTTTCCATAATTCTCTCTCCTGGAATAGGCAGCTACACAGCACAGGAGAAATGCCTCCCAGCTGCCAGCAGAACAAAGTTATTTAATTTGGAATTTAAATTTCAAAACCAAAATTCCAATCAAGATAACCTTGAAATCTGGCAGGAGCACACAAATAAAAAACATAAATAAAACACAAAGTCTCTGAGGAAGACTGAATGTCATTTCAGAAGACAGAAGAAAGCCCAACTGTCATGAGTTCAATGGTTTCACCACCTCCACTAACACTAGATAGGCTACAGTGATTCCCAGAGAGAAGGCATATAGCTTTTCACTACACAGATAACCTTGAAGAGGACTCTGGTCTTACTGGCTTCACTGGTGCCTGGAATCAGCTGTGATTTTGTGTTCCTCATCTCTTTTAAGCACACACAGAGCCCCTCACCTGAAAGCCCTGACATTTTAACTTCAAGAATTGTCTATACACCAAGGAATACAAAACGTATGTTACACTTCCCTCTGAAAAAAGATGTATTTGTCCAGTGTGGTGAAAATTTTAACATTATGGCACATATTACCAATAATGAAACACCCCGAGGAATAACTAGAAGTTATGAGTGATTCAAGTACAGGGCTGGGGAGCAGCTGCATACAACTTTACCTTTTGTTTTCAGGCTTTGCTCAAAACACAGTGCCTCTTTGCTGAAAGTGTAATGTGAAATAGCACACTGGACAATAGAACAAAACACTTTCCTACCAGAGAATACTGTTGGGTCCAATTTTTCATTGCTTGCATTTTGATTTTTAAGTTTTTTTCCATCCAAGCCAATGCTTTTGCTCTGACAGCATTTAATAACAAGTTTGACCTTGGAGTGTCTAAGTTTAAATGATTTCAGAGTACACTGCAGAAGAAAATCAGGGGCCAGGGATTCTTTTCCTTATTTGAATTTTATTATTTTGGGAAAAGGGGGAGTCCCTTGTTTCACAGAAGAAATTACTTTTGAGCCACAGTGTGAAGACTTTTTGCATGCCTGCATGAAGAGCCACAACTTTTTACACTTACTGCAGTTGATATATGATTGTCACCAGCGCCAAAAGGAACTTAACTGCTTCCTCATGGGAATATCTCTGAAAATACAGTAAAGAAAGCTGAGAACTGGTTTATATTTCCATGTGTTGGAGAAGGAACAAAGTTTGAGCACAGTCCCCTCCTGACAGTCCTCTGGGCTTGTACAGCTCAGAGAAGCTTTGTGATTCTACAACCCTTTATTTTTCTAGTGGGTTCACATCCAGCATTCCCTCTGTGTAACTCAATTATGATTATCAAGCATCAATCCCAAGAAAGGTACAGGTTTGTAATGAATAAATGTCACTGACTACAGTTTTCTGTATTTCATCTGTAGATCAAAACACACACATTTATATCTGAAGTGCCAATTTTGCAAGTATTTAACACAGATTAATAAACTTCCAAAATTATTCCCATTCTCATATTTTGGGGCCTTTTTAATTTCTCAATTTCCTATAAAGACCACACAAACTTTGAGAAATACTGAAGATTCACAAAGAGTAATTATTATAGCTTCGTACTAAGAATGAATATTAACTATTGTTGCTGCACAGAAAAAAGCAACTGTGGTGCAAAAATACTGTTTGGTACGTTTGTTAGAGTTATTACAGAAGTCAAAGATTAAATTATCTTTGGTTAGAGCTACCTTCGTCTTCCCCCCCCCCCCCAATAATACTATCACAACAACAGTGTGACATGGCTCCTGACAGTCTAATCATGGTTCATCTAGCAATATTCACAGGGAGTCAAAATGTCGCTGTTAAATCACTGCCCTTCCCTATTCTAAAAAGCCACCAGGTGAGCTGTTTCAGTGGTGATAACAATGGAAAACACCACAAAGGATTTATTGTCAACAGTTCTGTAAGAGAAAAGCAACACTGCAGACAATATTGATTGCTGTAGGGGAAAAAATACATTTCATTGTTCTTACATAAGCCATCTTACATAACATGGAATAATGTTACATTTTATGGACGCTATTTTCATGACAAAATGCTCTTGGAAGTTAGAGGTTATTAACGTTCTGTACCGATCTAATGCAATTTGAATGCGTATGATGTGTTCACTATGGTAACTATTACACAAAAGAAAAGGCACTGATCTTCATACAAGATCCTCTTTTCTCACAAGTAAGCACAGAAGTATACACAAATTCTGCAAAAAAAACTGCTTTCTTGGTGCATCAAACACTTAGGAGAGGAGAAAAAGAAGAAAGAAGAAAAAACAGAATCAAAGACAAGTAACTTGACCTTTTTGTTATCTGTTTTTGAAAATAAAATGAAGGAAATTATACTCCTTTAGTTGTTCATAAATCATCATCTATTTGATAATGAGATATCCCATTCAAACCTATCAATAATTGTGAGTTACAGTTTACCAATGACAGTCATAAACGGCAGTTAGAAGCATCAAATTTATAGTGAACTCTCACTAGAAATTTGTTTCTACAAAAATATTGCTTAAAATTCACATGCCTGTGGCATTTAAAATTATCAACATAGTTACAAAGAAAAAAACATAAATGAAACAAAAGCCATCAAAACCATTCAATTTCATGTGCATTTTTTAAATTGTGTATTTAATTCACAATCCTTGCAAAAACCATTAGAATTCACAAATGACAGTAATAGTTCTTCTCTAAGGCCTCATAGAGACAAGTGTGTAAGTGATACATGGAGAATGCCTGCCCTATCTTCAACCAAAAAGCACACAGACTCTGTTCATTTGTTGTTCACGGTCTCCCAACACGTTAGGGCTGAGAATCCTAAACACACCATCAACTGTCAGGTTCTGCCAAAGACAAAGAGACAATAAACTCTCTGGGCAACTGTTCCATGCTTGACCATTCTCACCCTAAAAATGTTCTCTCTGATGTTTATATGGAATTTCTTGTATTTTGTTTAAGTCTCAATGCCTCTTGCCACCCCCACCATTATCCAGTCTGGTATTTACACACACTGACAAGATCCCCCCAAAGCCCTGTTGTTTAAAGTCTGAACAGTCCCAGCTTTCTCACCCTCTCTTCATATGACAGAACGAGACACAGCACACCAGACACGTCTCATCACTGCCTAATAGAGGGGAAGAAACACTTCCCTTGATCCACCGGCAATGGTCTTCCTAATACAGCCAAAGAAGCTGTTGGCTGCCTCAGCTGCAAGGGCAGACTGCTGGCCCATGGACCACTGGTCCACCAAAACACCCCCAGCTGTTTTCCTGCAAAGCTGCTTGCCAGCCAATCACCCCCAGCCTATATCAGTGCATGATTCTTCCTCTCCAGCTACAGGACCTCACAATCCCTTTTCGTAAAGGTCATAACATTCTTATTTGCCCATTTCTCCCATCTCTGAGATCACTTTGAACAGCACCTCAACTCTTTTGTGTAACTTCATTTCTAATACATACAGACAACATACAAGTCTATGACAGCAATGACACTCCACTCTATGAACAACCTTTTCATTTAACAACTACTACAGTAGAGATAATTTATTCTTTGTGTATAATTGATTTGTGTCTGCACTTAAAAATGTCTTTTGAAATCCATATTATAACTAATACTGTCACATAATAAAAAGCAACATTTTAAATTAAAAGTTAATTATTTTCCATTATTCAACATTACTAGACAAGGCAGGAACTCTAGGTTAGTGTGAAAACATAAAAGAAGTTATTCTGAACTCATAATACATGGGTTTAACAGCTTAACGTCAAGAAGCAATACTGTAAATTAAAAACTAAGTAGAAGGATTATAGTATTTCTTATTTAGAAATTTCACAACTACAGATAATTAAGGCAAGTGAAATATTTTTGCAGCATTGTCCTGGAATCTACAATTATAAAGTATTTTTACAGCAATAGCACCGTACTCTGTAATAACACTCTAGACATAACATCATCATGGCATTTGAGACTTTTACCGCAATATACTGCTGCATTTTTTCAAGGTTTTGTAGGACTTATTTCTATTTCTTTCTTCCTGTCATCATTACTACAAGACAGCTTGCTTCACCTAGCTTATCTAAACCACAGCTGGAATCAGTAAATCACAGGTATGACAGAGCAAGGGAACCTCATTCACTGCAGGTATGTAAAGGTGCCACTTTTGAGGCCCCCACTTAAAAGTGACTGTTTCAGAAATAGAAACCACATGTGGGCCACACATGATTCTTTCCACCTACTTAAATCTGAAGAATAAAAACTCCTCATAAGCCATGTGAAACAGTTTGAGTGTTGACTTTCTGCAAGTGTAAAAAGTTTTCGAATTGAACAAAATGCCTGGAAATGAGCCCCATCTCATTTTGAACATGTATCCTCCAAAGAAAAATCATCCTCACAGTAGACTACAAGACAACTAATAGTGAATTCTAGAGATGGAGAACTGTGATACCTTATAGAGATTATGGAAGAAATTTAAAGACAGTTTCAGTCTTGTCATATTCCTTACACCTCAAATTATGCGTATTCGGAAAACTGTCAAGAAAGTCACCCACAGAAAAGAGCTCCTGCTGGCAAGGTCTCACCAGGGAATACAATTAGAAGCAATCCACGATCTCCATTCTCATGTAGATTTGGATATGCACTTACCCCTTTTCCCTTGCCAGCTTGGGACAGTATTGACTTTTACAATTAGTCTTCTCTTTGAAGTCTCTACAGATATCCAGACAGCTTTAACATCCCTCGTTCCTCCAAGAAGTATTCCATTCTCTCCCTCAGCAGATTACCAGGCACTCTCCTGGTGAAAAGGAAAAAAAAAAGGTAGTTTCACTGACTTAATTATGCAGGTATATCCTTGTTAGACTCAGACTCATCTACAACAATTAACCCCTTATCTCAATAATTTTATGATGCTGCTCCTCTCTCCCTCCCCCTAACTCATTTGCTACTGTTTGGCATGTTCCACTGGACCTTAGTGTTCTCTTACCTATTTGAACATTAAAAGCACACATGACTTATGTGCTTAATTATATATATATGTATACACATACCACATTACTGGCTCTCAACTGAGGGAAGTCGTGATGCAGTAAACTGCTTTAGGCTGCCTGACTGTATAGCTCCCATAGCATTAAGGGGTATTTAAAGAAACCAACTCTCATTTACTTCTGCCAAAGCATAAGCCCACAAGTCTACAAATCCCACAACATAAATTACTACATTCAAGGCATATGGTTACTTTTTTTGACAATATGCATCCACATCTACGCAGTCACTCGATCAACTCTACCTTCATGGTGCACAGATTGTAATCATCCAACAGTCTCATATTCTACATCTAATATTCCATAACTGCTGATTAAAACAACCAACTCCAAAAGATTCTGATCTTATTTTAAGAATACACACACATGCTACATACACAGTGTAACAGACCATTGGCAATAGGCTTGAAGAGCTTTCAATCACATTAATTAATAATAAACAGTAAAGTGATATGCCCACGGAAGTCATAACATCCCTGCATACAGACAGGCCAAGCATTGCATTGAAGTCCTTCCAGCAGGCACAGGAAGTTTCCAAAGTAATTGCCCTTTAGTCATTACAAGATTACTTTAATATATGCTGGTGTGTGAAGGAGCATATAGAACCAAATTTTATTTCTGAAATGTCTACATCCATAAAGATGCCTAATTAAGGTATTCATTAAAGTATACAAAGTTAACAGGAAAAAATCTAGAGACTACTATTACGCTTCCCCATTAAGCTAATTTAATTTGGTTATAACACAAATTCTAATAAGATGATATTATTAACTAGTTCAATTTCAAAATGTCTTACCATGTTTATTTTTATTATGTTACTAAGCAGAGTAGCAATTGACCTAATTTATTTTATTTAATAACATTTCTCAATCCTTTTAAAAAGGGACAATGGCCTATTTCTTTCCTTAAGCTGTCAGTTTGCTGCCATTTTAAACTTTACATATAGCTAAGGTCTTCACCAATTTCACAGACTAGCATTCAAAACTATGTATTCTTCTTTTACTCAGATCAGTCATTTGGTCTGCAATGACAACATCTGGGAGTTCCAACAGTTATTGCCCTGAACAGGCGAAAGATCTGCATTTCAGTTGGTCACCTGTCCAGTTGGATACTTACTTTCTTTCAGCTTTTACAAATAGACAGTATTTCTATTATGATTTAAAGTCATAATTGATGCAAAACTATACAGCTGGTTTTAATACTGTTCCAAAATTGAAAGAGAAGAAATTTTCTTCATAAACAATCAGGATACTTCAAATTTCTTCCCCGGCATTATATATTAGATTTTCCATGTTCTGAGAATAACATTTCAGTCACAAATTCACAACATCCTTGTCTAAAATCTGGACACAGCTGTCTAGCATAAAACCATTATGTAAGGTTCTGCACAGTTTGCTAATTCTGCAGCGTCAGGGCTGCTGCATTTAACCCCAGGGATCCTCAACATGTCCTGTCTACCACCAACAGCATACAGAGCAGCATTCTAAAGTGACCCATGCAGGCACCCCGTTTTCAGGAACTAGGCATCACCACAACCAACCACATTACCTAGTGAAGGGGCTCTCAGCCTTGTCTGAACACTCTTGAGGAGCAGGAGCCTAATACTGAGATCACAAGAAAGAACATGTAGAGAGCTGTATTCACTGCAAGCTATACATAATGAATCCTGAACAGGCCTCTGTACCTTGGCAGTGTTAATTATCACCTTGGATTCCTCCCATTTTTCCCCCTGTTGGTATTGGCATATTCTATCATTACTTCATCAGCACTTTTTTCCTTGCTGTCTCTCAGATAGCCAACTCTGCATGGAGAAGCTTCATCATGTTCTCTGCACTTGACCTCATCTGACCTGCTAAACAGTGATTTAACATACTGTATGTATTAGAAAAATCAATACTGACAAAATTTTCAAGTCAAACCTATTGGTATGATTTAAAACCCAGAAGGTTAGCAATAAGGTTATTCAGAGTGGAACTAAGATGTAACAAGCTACTTCTGTCAGTAATGGACACGTCATTTCTCTCCCAAAACCTGACTCAAACAAGATAAAGACTTTTCCAGTAGCTAATACAACATAGAGATACATTTCTTGTTGAAAAGTAAATATTAGATTATATAAATAAATACATTAAGATAAGTATTTGCATAAAGCCAGCTTGCCCACTATTCCTACATTGCTTTTTACTGCAGTACAGATCTCAAAACTAAACATTTTGGTCACAGAGGTCATATCAGTTTAAAAGCTTCCACCTACTCTGCCACATTGATTTTCTAATGCACATAACATGTTAAAACAAATACAGTCAATAGTTCAGCAGACCAGACAAATCAGGGACCAGAAATGCTGCAAAGATTATCTTGATGCTTCACCAATCACAAGTATGGCCTAATGTCAGGAGATTAAAGGGATTTAATTTCATGTCAAGGGATTAAGTTTTATACCTTATTACACGTAAAGTTAAACACCTCATAAGCAATTATAAGCAGTGCAGTATACCAGGAAATGCATAAAGCTAAAAATAACAATTTTGAGTGAAATGGTATTTTAAGTTGGAATATGTGAATCAACAATTAAAATCTTGGGCAATCTCCCCCAGCATTTGGTAGGCAAACGGGGAAAGAGCTAACAATGTGAATGGTGAAGAGAAAGCACAAGGCCTCACCAGACCTGAAACAGAACTCCTCAATACAATACACCTATTATTTATGTCACAGTTTAATTTCAAAAATTAAGTTTAAAACTAAATGGCAATGTTATTCAGAACTGGCATTACTCCGCTTGTTCATTTTAAGGAAAAAGGCTGGCAAGGACAGCATTCATGACAACTAACCCAATGTTTGCCTAGCATTAACAGGACACCCCAGCACACTCTCCTCTGAGAGGGAATTTTGACTTTAACAGGCTTTACCAGCCCAACTGCATAAAGAATTGTCGCAGCTAATTTGCACATAAAAGCCAGAATAGTTTAGTTTTGCAGCTGTGGGAAACAATTGATATTTCCTCCCCAATGGAAGTTATCACTTACTTGTCTTTCCCCTACCCAGCTCAGCAAAATACTGTAACAGAAACCACTCTTCTCTGAAATAGTTGTGATCGGATGACACAAGCTTCTCACACTCTTCTTTAAGCAAAGACTCTAAAAAAGCAATATAACAACCTGTAAAACAAACACGGAATTAAAGTACTGGGCGATTATGAAGTTCTGCAGTTTTGGCAACTGTCTCCACTCAAAAATGCAATTCTTTGAGCATATGGTCCACTGTCCTAATTTCAGAAGGAGAAATCTGGGTTTCTTTCAGCTGAAAGATGCTTTAAACCTGAGAAAACGTGAATCTGGTTTTGTTATTAAGCCTCACAGTATATGATGACTCTTACAGTACTCTCCTGTGCTGCTTCTCATGCATCAATGTATGCAAGAGTAATGAGAGAAATTTGCTTGTTGATGCATTTATCTAACAGTTCATTATCATCATCAGGGGTCAAAATACTAATCACCAGAATGTATTAGGAAAAGAAAAAAACACTAGTAACACAAAGTAAATGCTAGTAATTAGTGGCACAAAGACAAAGCATATGGATATACAGTGAACAATCTCTTGTTCCACTGAGACACATGTAAGCATCCAGAAAGCAGTGCCTAGTTACTGAATTTAGAATAAAGAGCATCAATGACAGCAAGTTTAAAATTAGAAGTGCAATCAACTGAGAGTGGCTTATGTTATGCATTGGATGGCTCCACATAGCTCTAAGTTTTCCTTTCTACTTCAAGGCAATATTTCTAAACTCTCTCCTGCTGCTCTGGCTTGTCACACATACTGATACTGTGGTCACTGCAGTTATGACTCATATGTTTCAGCTTTTTTTGTCCACTAGACAAGCGGATCCAGAATTTGAATTTATTTCAGAACTTGGCATTATATATCTCAATATACAATCTGAATAAATTACTATTTTTACTCTGTCACTGTTCAACAAATATAGGAACAACTGTTCACCTCCGTGCACTGCATGAAGAGGACTTCCTTTTTAATGATCTCTGGTAAGAAAATTAAGACCGATTTTGATACCATGCAGGATCAAGACTTCAATTAGTTTCACTGATGTAATCTACATGCTCATTTCCAGGGGTGGTGGAGTGAAAAAAATTGCTCACAGAAATTCACTTCTCTGAGCCAGTCATGGACAACATCCATCCATCACAATATGAGGTATTTAAAGCCCTAGAAACAAACGGCAGAATCTATAGAATACTACACAAATGTACTGGCAAACTTTAATGCTGCAATGCTGTAAATGCTGATTTATTTCCACAGAGAGCAAATTCAACATAGACTGTAATTCATTAAGTAAATGCAAGGCTATATGAATGTCAACTTTCCAAAATACACAAGATACAGCCAATAAAAAAAGAAAACAAAAGAAAAACACAACTAAATCAGAAGGTTACAGACATATCTGTTCTAGCTCTATCTCTACTCCCAACTCCCAGTCCCATCAGCAGGACTGGCAGAATTGCCCATTTACAGCCCACGGACTCAATGCCACAGAAGCAATCTATGTGATTTCGCAAAGAGGAGGGACAGCTGATTGTCTGGAGGATAGATAGGAAGAGATCGGCTATTCCATAATGAAATAGGAGTAGTAATAATAATAATAGCAGTCCTCTAAGCTTCCTTAGAGATTTTGCTTAATTGGACGGTGTAGATCCAATTCTGATTCTGGAGATACTGCTATAACTCCAACATTTTT